GCCACATTGGACACCTGCCATGGAGGGCTGCGTGGCATGCTGCAGGTGGATGACTTGACTTATGAAATCAAACCCCTGGAGGCTTCTTCCAAATTTGAGCATGTAGTATCCCTGCTTGTGTCAGAAGAAAGACCGGGAGAGGCTAGTAGATGTAAGACTGAAGGGGGAGAGAGAGATCAAGAATCTGAAAAGGTAAAACTGGCTGAAACTCCCAGAGCGGGCCACGTTTATTTGTGGAGGCATCATAGAAAAAACTTGAAAATTCACTACACGGTTACTAATGGATTATTCCAGCGGAACCCTAATGTGTCACACATAATAGAGAATGTAGTGATTATTAACAGTATCATACATACCATTTTCAAACCAGTTTATTTAAATGTCTATGTACGTGTTTTGTGCATATGGAATAAAAGGGATTTAATAAAGTTTTATGGAGTATCTGCTGGAACTGCTGTAGAAAACTTTGGTTTGTGGAAATTATTTAGATGGTACACAAAAATTGAACATGATACCTCAGTTGTTTTTACAGCATATCAACTTGAAAACAAGGACTGTTATGCCCAGTTTAATGGAATGTGCAACCCCAACTGGGGAGCAATGTTTGTGTATTTAATGAGGTATCACTTATTTAGGGGGGCATGTTTAACAGCGCATGCACTAGGTCATAACTTGGGCTTGACACATGATTCTGCTGGTTGTTATTGTTTTCGACGAACCAACTGTCTCATGGCTCCTGTTCCTGATCTTAATGATATGATGAGCAATTGTTCTTATGAGAGGATTCAACTCAGGTTGAATGGATGGGATCTTTGTTTGAGTGCACCAAATATTCCATACACTAATTTTCCTTATGTAGCTCCTCGTTGTGGAGACAAGATCAAAAATCAGAGGGAAGAATGTGACTGTGGCTCCCTTAAAGATTGTGCCAATGATAGATGTTGTGAGACCTCTTGTATCCTTTCTCTTGGCAGTGTTTGCAATACAGGACTTTGCTGCCGTGAGTGTAAATATGCTGCCCCTGGAGTGGTTTGCAGAGACTTGGGTGGTATATGTGATCTACCGGAATACTGTGATGGGAAAAACGAAGAGTGTCCAAATGACGTCTATGTCCAGGATGGAACCCCATGTTCAGCAGTATCTGTTTGTGTAAGAGGAAACTGCAGTGACCGTGATATGCAGTGTCAAGCCCTTTTTGGCTACCAAGTGAAAGACGGCTCCCCAGCGTGCTATCAACAATTGAATAGGATTGGTGACCGATTTGGAAACTGTGGGGTTATTCTACAGCGAGGAGGAAGTAAACCTTTTCCATGTGAAGAAGATGATGTTTTTTGTGGAATGTTGCACTGTAGTGGTGTCAGCGAGATTCCCGGTGGAGGTGAGCACACTACATTTCGTAGTATATTAGTACGCGACATAAAAGAAGAAAAATGCTTTGGCTATGAAGCACACCAGGGAACAGACTTGCCAGAAATGGGGCTGGTAGTGGATGGTGCAACCTGTGGCCCAGGGAGCTACTGTCTTAAACACAATTGTACTTTTTATCAAGACCTGCATTTTGAGTGTGATCTTAAAACATGCAATTACAAAGGAGTATGTAACAACAAAAAACATTGTCACTGTGTGTTTGGGTGGCAACCACCAACATGTGAACTGAGAGGAACAGGAGGTAGTATAGATAGTGGCCCTCCACCTGACAAACAATATCATATTGCAGGCAGCATCCTTGTGAATATAAACCGAGCACTACTTTTAATATTTACTCGTTACATCCTTTTACTGGTTTCGCTTCTCTTTGGTGGCTTTTTACAAGCAATAGAATTTATGGAAGAGAAAGTATTGCAAACTACTGAACCTGAGGAGTAAATACTAATGGGAGCCCACACAATGGAGAAAATCTCATTGACACTTACTGGGAGTTGTAATCAATAGTCATTATGATGGTTACATCACCTCTTAGCAATTTGATGTCATCTTGAAATAAAATCACTTGGCAATTTAAAAAGGGTCTGTGTGTTTAAATTTACTTAACATTTCCTGTCTGGTCATATTCTCAATACTTCTATAGATGATGGCAGAAACTCCTAGATTCACTAACAAGAGGACCTGTACTCATTTAAGATTTGAGGCTAATGTTTTCTAGATACCCCTGTGGCAAATCCCATGTACACTAATATACATTTGCTCACATTCTTAATTTTTTTTTTTTTTTTGAGGTAGGGTGTCTGGTGCGTAGCCTGGCAGGTTGGAGTGCAGTGGCACAATCTCGGCTCACTGTAACCACTGCATCCCGGGGTTCAAGCAATTTTCCCACCTCAACTTCCTGAGTAGCTGGGATTACAGGCATATGCTACCACACCAGATTAATTTTTGTATTTTTAGTAGAGACAGGGTTTCACCATCTTGGCCAGGCTGATCTCAAACTCCTGGCCTCAAGTGATTCACCCACCTTGGCCTCCCAAAGTGCTGGGCACTTGGTACATGCTATCTGCCATCATTTTCATTATTCTCAGTATTTTTGCATTATGCTAAGCCTGGGGAATTCCATATGTAATGTCTCTGACTTTTTGTCTTTACTGTTAAACTATTACAGAAAGGGTCATTATTCACTGATAAATCACTTCTCAATTTATCTGGAAATTAAAGGTATGGGACATCATATTTTAAATCTCCAGGAATTGCCTGAGCCCAGCCTATCTATAAATTACAGGATGGAACTCACAGTCTGATAAATGTACAGACACAAAATCTTACCTAAAGAATCGCTTCAGAAATAGTGCACTAAGGTGGGGTACAGTGACTCACGCCTATAATCCCAGAGATTTGGGGGCCTGAGGTGGGAGGATTCCTCGAGGCCAGGAGTTTGAGACCAACCTGGGTAACATTGTGAGACTCTGTCTCTATAAAATATTTAAAAACAAAAAAAAATTATGCAGGCATGGTGGCACATACCTGTAGTCCTAGCTATTCCAGAGTATGAGGAGGGAGTATCAGTTTGAGACCAGCCTGGGCAACATAGTGAGAATCTATCAACACAAAATATAAAGAAATTAGCTAGGCATGGTGGCGCATGCTTGTAGTCCTAGCTATTCAGGAGGCTGAGGCAGGAAGATCACTTAAAGCCAGGAATTCAAGGCCAACCTGAGCAGGATAGCAAGACCCCGTCTCTAAAAGAATTTAAAAATCAGCCCGGTGGAATAGTGTGTCCCTGTAGACCCATCTACTTGGGAGGCTGAGGCAGGAGGATCACTTGAGACCAGGAGCTGGAGGTTACAGTGAGTCATGACTGTACCACTGCACACCAGCCTGGGTAACAGAGTGACACTGTATGTCTGTATGTGTATGTGTGTCTGTGTGTGTGTGTGTGTTTTAAAAACTTTTCTCTTGTTTTTAAGGCTTGTCATATCCAACAAGAGGTGATGTTCCAGGTCACATAGTACAAGGGAGGTGGAGATGTGGAAGAAAAGAAGCAAGGGGGACTTCAAGAAGATAGGGATCAGGATAGAAGGGAGGTGAGAATCAGAAGCATAAATAGAGGTAGACAGAAGGGAGGAGGCCTTTGGGAAAGGAAGATCATTGAAGCTGTTGAAAACAGGACTCAAGACTAGAGATTGTTCAAAATATTTCTTTTCATGGTTTCTTCATACCAAATAAAGTAAGTTATTTGTGGAGTGTCAGCTATTCTGCTACCCTTTTCTTCTAAGGTGACACAAAAATGCACAAGTTTGACATGCCCCAAGTAACCAAAGGCACTCCAGTTCAAATTTATACCTGATGAAATCACGCCACTTAAGAATTTAACAGATTGATCAACATTGCACCAGACCATATGTCTACACAGATCTGACCAGGTGTTTGGGTTGAATAGGAGTTTCCATAGTAGAAGAAATTTGAGATAATAGAAGAGTCTTTTCTCACCTTAGGAAAGTTACCTAAACTCTCTGCTCATCTACAGAACTCTGAAAGATGGAAGGAAAATGCTGACTTCAGTCTGACAAAAGGGTACCTAGAAAAAAGTCAAAGCATGCAACCACCATGCTATGAAAGAAAGTGAGGTGATGGGACAATCTGTGCAGCAAACTGCCATGGCAGTGTTTACCCATGTAATGAACCTGCATAGCCTATCCTGCACCTCTACCGCTGACCTTAAAATAAAAGTTGGAAATCAAGAACAAAAATAAAAATGAGGGAAAAAAAGAATCAGATACCAACAGCACGGCTGACCATTCCACCCACGGAAATTAGGGTTCTTTGATAATGCTGTCTTTGGCACAAAACTGGGCAGTGTTGGCATTTTGCACAAAACTATTCCAAGTAACAACACAAAATTATTAAACATATATATTATATAAGTTTTTTAAAGTGACTCACATAGAGGTTAAAGGCTTTATTCAATTGAACTACATGAGGGAGTACCTGAAGACCAGGTGATGTCACAAGTGAAGCAGGGTCAAGGTTTTTACAAGATGGGAACGTTCTGAGTAGCTGTCCTTGTCCTTTCAATTTTAGCACCAGTGTTCACCTTAACCAAAACCCATAGATGGAGACTATTCATATTTACTTGTACCTTCTTTGGAGTCTAATAACCAACAGAACAATAATTCTGAGAACCGTCTTTACAAACCTTGTGGGTTTTTGGATAGCCATGGGCTGTGAGAGGTATATGGTTTTTTAAAAAATGGGTTGGGGGAGGGCGCTGGGCATGGTTGCTCATGCCTATAATCCTAGCACTTTGGGAGGCGAAGGTGGGAGGAATACTTGAGCCCAGGACTTTGAGACCAGCTTGGGCAACAAAGCAAGACCCCATCTTTATAACATTAATTTTGTTTTAACTTTAAAACAATAAAGAGAAGAAGGAAAAATAAAAAGGACAAAAGTGGCAGTCAGGGAGGACCCAGAGCACTTGCTAATGTTTGTTTTAAATCTTTTGCACCTTCATCCCAGGAGGTCAACACTGCTGCACATATCCATTCGCAGTTACCATTGCATTGGGTGGTTCCAAGTGGCTCCCAAGTGAATCCCCTAGTTTCTCCATATAACCCTCCATGCCTCTACTGGGGCTCAGCAGCCTTACCTCCCCTGCTCTTCAGGGTCAATTACTCCTGCCAAAATGACTCTTCTTTTTACCTGCTGGTCCTTGAACAGAAGATATCCCAGATGCCCTGAGGGCAGCTTGCAGGTCTATGGAACTTATGCTGGGTCCTCTGGCAAAGATGCATTCTCTTTGTGGACCAAGACCTGCCTAGAGAACAGGTAGTTGCAAGGAGGGAAGCAGATCAGTGGATCATCAAGTGTGATGATAAGTGAGGCCACCCGGCTTCTCTTCCTTGGCTCTGGGCCCCATATATTCTTTCTATTGCATATACAACACCATGTAGGAATCTCTGACTTAATATACACAATGCATTGTGAAGGCTGGCACTCAATTCTTTCAGAATATTGTTTCTGAGCTGGCACTCTGGCTCTGCCTTCTGCAGGCCATTCTCAGCACTTTAGGAGAATAGATGCTACTAAATATTGAATATATGATACAAACAATATAATTCATTGCTATGTACCATTCCTGCACCTCATACACTAAAGGGTGAATGAATCCTCTATTCATATGCCAAGTTGTATGAGACTCCATGCTTAAAGATCTTACAATCCGTATGCCCACAGTAGTGGTGCAGGCTCGAGCTCTATAGACAATATCATAACTAGAATATGTATATTTTCTTGTGTGAACTAATCGGTGGCCCTCCCAGGATAAAAGGGGCACAAAGTAGTCAATGTCTCACTATTTCACTGTTTGTTTTCCTTGAAGAATAGCACCTTCCCAGAAACTCAGCCTTGATCTGTGTCACTGGCAAGTTGGACATTCATGAGAGAAGTGTCTTGATTAACTCCCTTGGCAAGTGGGAGTCCATGCTATTGAGCCCAATGCACCTCCATCTCTGCCACTATGGCCACCTGTTTGTGTGCCCCTGGAGAATTCATATACATGAGTATCTTTTCAAGAGTGAGAAGACCCAAAATAATGGTCAAAGCAGAAAGTTTTTATACTTTTAGAAAAAGAACAATAAATTTGTGAAGAAATGACAAGACAACAGTGTAGAGAGCCAAAAGCCTGTGGGTTGTAACCTACTCAGCATTCCACTGGAGGCTATATGATCAAACAACAAACTGTTTGTCATGAATGCAGGATGTGGGAAAACTCACAGCCGCCAGAAGGTATGCTGAGTGCAATCACTCCCTGGTACCATTGTCCTTGAGGTTATCTACTGGAACATCTAAAGACTACTGTTCAGAGAATACAGTGGTGCAGGCCTGCACTGAGTCAAGCAGCCTACTGACAACCACCTCCTTCTCCCTATCTCCTTTTCTCAATAAATATGAAGGAAGCTATAAGCTCAGGGCCCTTGTTCACTAAAAGCAAGGAGCCCCCTGACCCCGTCATCCAAATATACTCTTTTGTCTTTGTCTTTATTTCCATGTGCGACCCCCTTTGTTCCATCCAACAGGGACTGGGGCCATGACACAAAAAGATCTAAGCTAGGGACAGTGAATTCCAGGGAAGTCACTAGGAGATGTATTGGTGTGGAATGTCAAGGAGGAGTTATAAAGCTAGTGGGAGATAAGAGTTACTTTAGTTTATTTGTACAGGTCTACTGCAGCAAAAATTTCCAAACCTGGGGATACGGTTATTTTCTTGTCCTGGCACAGGGAAGGCATCTTTCTCCATGGAAGTTTTACGGCTTGCTATATGCAGGAAAAGGCAGGTCAGATAGTCACTTCTGGAACTACAGTTTCCAAAGTGCTTTGAGCTTGAAGTAATCAATACACTAATTTGGCATATTTTAGAGTGGCACACTTTTAACTCCTTTATTTTTCCTGTCTGAAACTTCCGTAACAGTTTCAAATTAAAAGCTGAGTTGGTATTTGTGGAGAGAAGAGTTGTGTTAGCAGCTGAGTGGCAAGGGATCTGCAAAGGGAGAGAAGAACACAGATTAGAAGGAGAATTAATAAGCAGAAAAGCACAATCTAAACACATTTACCCATACTCCATTCAACCAGTCTCCTATCCCTGACAATGGGTCAGGCCAATTGAATGGTTTAGCTTCATTTATATGACGAAGAGTGTTTATCTTGTCTTTCAAAAAGTTCAGATTAGATTCTATTTGTCCCTGGTGGTTTACATATAAGCAGCATTCCTCACCAATGATTGCACATGCTGCTCCTTCTTGGGCTGTCATTCTATCCAGGACATGGTGATTCTGGAGTACGACAGAGGCTAAACTGTTAACTTCTGGTTGGAGTCTTCTCAGTGCTTGCATAGTAATACTGACTCCTGTTCTATTACCATGGAAACATTGAGAATTTCCCTTTCCCTCTCATAAGTTCCAAAGCCTGGGAAAATGGATCTCAGCATGGAAAGGAACTTAGAATTCTGACATATAAGGGGATTTTCTGTAACATCTCATTTAGTACGCTTGTGTGGCATTACTTTATAAAAAAAGGAGCCCAAGTTTATAATTTGGCTGGCATTGAAGGAGGAGTACTTGGTGACGAAGGCATTGGGTATCTGAGTCCCCATCATTCTGACCATGTAGGTGAGAACCCTTCATAGACCTTGTCACCACGCAAGATAAAAAGACCAGTGTGGTTCACAAATAATATCAGAGTCAAATTTGTGACCCAACAGATTGGGGTTTGTTGTGCCTGGTCTTCTGTCATATTGGCATCTGTGAATCTGTATGTGTCTCTGTCAGTCCATAGGAGCAGAACAGATTGCACAATATCAGATATAGGAGATCTTTAGTTTGGTTTTGGCAGCTATAGGGCTTGATTTTGTCACCTGGCCAAGTTATTCCACATTTTTTGAATACTCACCATGCTATCACCATGTAATCTTTGGTGCCTATCAGTCTAATGAGGAGAGCAAGTGAGCAAATCCAAGTTGCACAGGGCTGACTTCTGGGCCATCCATAACATCTGGTGATGTGGCAAGTGTTTGTACCATAGGAGTGTCAAGACCATTTATGACCTTCGTGAGAGGCTTATGTGCCATCTGTGGCATCAAGTCACAGGGTTTGATTGTGCTACTGCCTTGGGAAGTTACCTGTGAAAGATCCTGCATCATCTCTGCTTTCAGTACAAAGGGAAAAATCCCCTTCTAATATCTTTACCTAAACAAACGACATTCCTCAACCTTCTACACAGGTGTCCAACTCACCAAAAAGAGAGGTAGTGTGACGTTGTTTTCTTTTCATGGAAGCCATACTTTGTCATGCGTCCATGCTCTGGACTTGACCCACCAGGCACTTGCATCAGCAGGAATGAAAATAAGTTCAGATAATTTTGTATAATCTAGATGCTGATATACCAGCAATCAGATGGCTTAGTTCACGTGGCCAGGGTTTGGAAAACTCGTGCAAAGTGATGTTAGTTCTGTGCCTAAACTGTTAAGAAAACAGTAAAGGTTAATAACAATAAGACACAGTTTGAAAGAAAGTCCATAGTGGAGGATCAGAGGGAGAACTGAATAGACTGAGATAGTCTCCAGTCAGCTTTTTCAATAAGTGCTCAAAGAACAAAGAGGACTTTGTGAAGAAAAGAAAAGCGTTTTGGGTTTTTTTTGTTTGTTTGTTTGGGTTTGTTTGTTTTTGTTTTTTTGTTTGTTTGTTTTTTAAAGGTAGAGAGAACCAGTTCCTGTTATACTAACAATGTACACCCTGTCTTGGATCCCAACACCACATAGAAGTCCCATGAGGACTGGGGAAACTACCATGCTCATTCACACAACATCTCTCATTGGTCCAGAGTTGCTTTCAGATGATTTAACTCCTTCTTGTTTCCAGCTTCCTCCATGAGTGCACTGAGCACACCCCCATAAAGCAGAAAGCCATTAGTGTGTATAGGACTTGTCATCCATGCTACAGACAGCCTCAAGGTTCAGCCTAAGAGGATACAGGCAGGTACCACCAGCATCTGCTGTACCAGACTTTCCAGCCCCAAATACGTTTACTTTTACTCTCATTTCCCTAGGATTGTATTTTCCAAGTAAACCATTTAGATTTAATCCTTGCCTCAGCATATGTTTTCTAAGGAACCTGGGTACAGTAGATGCTGAAAGCCCACCCTACATCTTCTCGTCCCACTTGAGTTCACTTGCAGCCACAGTAGACAATCTCCATGCTCTGAGAGTTTACCACTTCACGTGCTTATGTCTCAGATATTCTTTTCCTTACAGCTTTCTCCTGAACCATGGAGTATTAATCAAAGTTGTGTTTCACATGACTTCTCAGAAAGCGCACAGGGATGGCTCCAGTTGTACACAGAGAAAATCTATTCATTAGTCTACCCTGTTTTGTGCTTCCCCAGAAAAGTAACTCCACTTAAATCCTGTCTCTGGGTCTGCTTTTTGGGCAATCCCAATTAAAACAGGAGGTAAGACTCTATGTTTGTTATAAACAGGTGAATTCTACCCACCAATCCTGGTATAATTGACTGATATAGCGCTAATTAACTCAGTGAATATAAAATAACTATGCAGCTTTTCTTAAAATAAGAATATTGCAAAGTGCACTGCTTCTTGTAAAAATTAAAAGTAAAAAAAGGTGACTCTAACAAATTAACTTTAAAATACAATACAGGATCCCAATTTACCAGCAAAGCAGTGATAAAGGATTTATTCTATGAAGTGTATCAGGACAACAGGCTACCCATTTGGAAAAGTATACGATTAGATACCTATCTCATTCCTTATAGCAAAATAAATTCCACAATTAAGCATAAAAGATGAAACCAACATAATCCCAGAAACAATGGATTATTTCAAAGTAATCTCAAGCAGAAATACAAAACTCAGCAAATATAAAAGAACATTAGGCTGACAAATTTTACTTTAATCAACTTCAATGGTTTTTTACCATAAAGCCTTTCAACAAAGAATCAATAAACTGGAGCAGCTATCTTTTGTCTCCATATGGATGTGTACACTTACAACATGTGGAACTTTCTCTGATTTGACCAGATTGTATTATTGGTTCACTCCTCCCTCCGTGTGGCTCCAGTAGCTGTCCTCTGCTTCTTTTTGCTAACACATTGTTGGACCCTCTCCATCTCTATTCCTAGAGGGCATCAAACCATAAAGGGGTGACCACAAAGTGACAGGGCACACAAGTGGAACACTTACCATTTCATAAGGAATGCTTCTATGAAGATATAACATTTAACCTCTATTGAGAGAAAATAGGAGTTTTCCAGGGCAAGGGAGTAGGGGCAGGGTGGTAAACAGCATTTTGGGAATTGGAGATTTCATGTACAGAGAATATGCAGAGAATGACACAGCCAAATATATTGAAACATGAAATAGAAGATGCAAAGTTGGCAACGCATAATGAAAAATGATATGCAAAAGGTATTTTGACTCAATTTACAGAGTGCCATTCAGAAGTTAACTGATCAATACAAAGGGTATCTGACTCATTCTGTGTTTTCAAGAGACAGGCTTTCCAAAAACATGGAGAATAGACAGAGGAGAAGATACATTGGGGGAAGAAAAGACCAGCAAAATGCGTCAGGTACAAACAGCAGCATTTTAAATATTCAAAGTTTAATTTTGAGCAACAGCTCCAGTAGTTTATAAAAGAGGATCAGAATGACATCCCAAGGTATCAAAATATTATTTTTACTTTTCATAATTTCATGTATTTAATACTCCATTCAGATTCATGACTTCATTTAAGTATTTATTGAGTAGTAAGCACTGTGCAGTGTTCCAGCTATTGAGGATACAATGGTGAGCAAAACAGATGAAAACAATCCCGCCGTCATGGAGATTATATTTTGGTATGTGAAGCAAGCAAATGATCCAAAAGGATATCCAAACTGCCAAATTAAGACAAAAAGCTAGGAAGCACACAGGGAGCAAAATCAGGAAATTTCATCAGATAACAATTTCTTTATACTTAACAAAAATTCACTTATTTCTCTCTTTTGGTTACCAAATAAAAGAAGTTGGGGGGGACAAATATTATTATCACCCCTACACCTTTTCAGATTTTGAAGCAGAACATCAGAAAAGGTAAGTAATTTTCCCACATTGATAAATGTCAGTAGAGAGGTAAGCCTCACCCCTGGACTCTCTGATGCAGACACATCTCATGCCTTTCCCATAAGTCATCTCTGTGCACAAGAAACACAACAAGGACTAAAGGGAGGGAAGGAATGTAGCTTTATTTGCTGCTTAAAACAATGAACAATAGATAGAAACATGTTAAGAATAACTTGAACTTAATGACAATGTTTGTGGTTCTGACGTAAGGGAAGATCTTTGCAGCTTTCTGGAAATGGTCAGAAATATGCTGTTTCAGGGATGTACTACCATTTCTACTGCCAAGAGACTAAACTGTAATAATGCATGGAATATTAAATTAGAGACATTTTCTTAACCTGATGAATGAGCCTTAGTTTCTTTGGGACCAGAACACTGTTGCAGATACATAAGAAGCCCAACAGTAAACAGGAAAATCAAAACAGACAAAGAAGGAATCACAATCAGTGGCAAAAATCCTCTTTTCTTTGCAGATGCTGGGCCACTGTCAACACTACCCCCATAGCCTCTGTGCAGGCAGTAGGGAGGGGACCACCCATAGCCACAGTGGCAGTGATGTTGGTTATTGCAGATCCCCTTCATATTGCAGGTCTCAGGAAGGCAGACGTGTGACAAGACAGACAGACTGACACACTTCTTGTGGATGCAGATCTTTCCTGGGCCACACACAGTACCATCTTTCACGTCACCAATGTCAGGTATGTTCATCCTTAAATGATAGTCAATACCCCAGCAGGTGACGCCATTGATACGAGTGTGCTGCAAAGTAAAATGATCTTGGAGAAGAGGAATGTCTCTCACATTCTCACATTGAACTCTCCCACAAAAGACATCAGAGATATGACATTTTAGGTATGTTGTGCCATTTATACCACAGTGACCAAAACGGTTTCCCTGAGAGTTGATTTCTTTATAGCAATTCTGAGATGCACTTTTTGCATCTTCACCAAAAATCTCCCTGCAATGCTGGTCATGGTTATTACATCTCTTTTGATAGCAGTAGGCACTGTCACTACAGGGGAACCCGTCCTGCACATATCTATCTTCTGGACACTGATGGGATGTTCCATTGCACCATTCTGGGAGGTCACATTCATTGACCTCTTGTCTACAGAGTTCCCCTGATGGCATGAACTTGCAGTCTTTGCAACAAAGCCCAAAAGCACAGGCAGCCCCAGGCCTTAAAGTACAGTTCAACAGACAACAGGCATCTTGTTCACACTGCTGTATGGATCCACAGTCACACTGCTCTTCTCTTTCAACCACACCATTCCCACAGCGCTTTAGCATAAAGATTTCCCCCAATCTTGGAGGATTATGCAGACATGATCCCTGGTTTAAAGTGGTCTTCATAAAATCAGCATAACTGCAATTGGTGAATTTCTCTGCTGGCACTCTAAAAGTATTCATGATGCAACCTCTTTCCCCACAAAAACAGAATTCTTCATCATGCTGCATACCCAAAATATGACCTAACTCATGGGCCACAGTGTTGGCAAAAAGAGACCAGGTATCTCCTTGAAAATTATCAACTCCACAATCAATAGGTGGACGACATATTCCTGCAATGTAGGCTAGACCAAGTATACTTATAAGTGAATTTTTTATGAACATATGTGCAGCATCATGCTGTAGTTGGGAAAGACTGATTTGTTTCCATTGAGAGAAATCGTTCAGGACCTGTTCTATGCTTGTCATTGGGAAAACATTTCCTTGATTCCAAATTTCAATTCCAGTCAAAATTACATAACTACCTAACTGTTTATACATGGAATCCACTATGTTGACAACAAGAAATACATCCTCTTGTACCTTTGAGATGTTGCTTTGAGAGTAAATGAAGAAATCATGGTTCACCACAACAACTAGCTCCAGAAACCATGCATGGGTCCACCAGTCACCAGCAGATTTTGGTTCCAGAGCTGAGTTTTCAGCCTCTTCAAATCCCAACTGTTGGCGTGCTACTTCCTTCTCTGTTAAGCCACATCTCATAGCTGAGAATTGTGTCTCATTACTGTTTATCTTATAAACCAGGTGTTCAAATGTGGCAGAGTGCCTGATGGGTTCAATTTCATAAGTGAGGCCATTTATTTGTAATACCCCTCGAAAGCCCCCAAAACAAGCACTGAACACAGCCAGAGACTCAGGGACCCCCTCCACGTAACCATGATAGTAACAGTCATCTGGGATGAAGGGCTGATCCTCCAGGAGGGCATGCTCATCTGTGTAGGTGAACACTGGGAGGTGTCTAGAAACCAAGAGCTTTTTGACCCTCATGTGAACAACGTGTCTCTTTCCCCCAAGCCGCAGACTATAGGAGAGCCATCCAGGAGCCTTTGCACTTCTGCCCCTGCTGATCACCTTCAAGGGGATCACCACTTCTGGGGAAGTGAAATGCTGGGAGGGCCCAGCCTGAGAGTAGCCAGAAATGGACAAAAACACCCCAAGCCAGAGCAGCAGAAGAGCGACCCTGATGTACACTAGTGTCCCATCCACTGCCATTATGAAGTTGTCGTCATGGAGCCATCTGTCCAGAGCAGAAGAGGACAAAGTGTGAGGCACTTCTGGTCTGGCTCCTCCCTCTAAGCTGCTCAGGATGCAGGGCTGACCCTATGGATCTGTGTCCTGGCAGAGTTAGATCAGAACTGCAGTGCTGGAAGTAAAAATAAAAAGATGGGTTGGAAAGGTGATAAGTAAGGAAATCAGGAGAGAAAAAGAATGGAGTGGTGAAAAACTGGTTTATGAATCAAGAAAATGCATTGGATTTGCTTTTAGTAAATAAGGGTGGGAAGTTAGGGGGTACAGAAAAGACAACATTGGCCACATGGTGATAATAGTTGAAGTTGGAAGACGGGTACGTAAATAGTTATCTCAGTCTTTACAGGCAGTATGAAAATGTCCATAATAAAAAGTAAAAGCAAAAGTAAAGAAACTTAAGAGTAGGGTGACTCTATATCTCAATTTGTCCAAGATAATATTAGTTTATACCTGTTGCCCTTGCAATAACTATTGATAGTGTCTCCTTTGACTGTCCAAACTGGAAACATCAAAAACAATCACAATTCTGTGTCAAGTTGCATCAGTCTTATGATTTACTTTAGTTTCTTCATCTCAAAGTTATTTACTAGTCCTCATTGTATTCACCTTTACTCATAACTTCATTAGACTGAAAGATTCTTGACTGCATGGTTTATGATTTTCTTTCATTTTAGTATCCTCTGTAATGCCTCATAGAGCTCTATGTACAATGAAAAGTGGAAAGAGGGAGGAGGAATTGTGAAATGTCTTGGATTGTAAGTGAATGCTACTAAAATGTATTCATATTGTAGTATAATTTTTAGAAAAGAAAAAAAAATTCAGGAAACATTGACATGATTTAAGGTAAGGAGAGAATAATGTTGTTCTCTCCAGTTAGCCATAGGAGAAACCCAAAGACAAAAGCAAAAGCTTTCAGAAGAGAAAATGAGAATCTGTGCAGTTTAAAGGTCTTGGGAAAAGGAACTCTTGTCTTATTAGGGCAAAACCGTTGGAGAGTCTGGCATTTTAGGATTGCCAGGGAAGAGTCCCAATGTTTGCTCAAATATATTTACCAAGAGTTTTTGAAAGTAGGGAATTTCTGCACCTGTCATACAGTCTGGCTGGCAATACTTATCTATTTCTTTTTCTATTTATTAAACAAGTCTTTATGTGTTTGGAGCATATAAAGTGCAGGACATTGTTCTAGATATTAGAGAAAGAAAATCAAAATACAGAGCATTAAATAAATTACCAATTTAGTGTAGAAACTTGTGGCAGGAGCAAGAATAAGCTTCAGGAGGTCTATAATATTGTATTCGATATTTTATATATTTCATGACTTTTTTTTTTTTTTGCTGAGGAGAGTGTCCGTCCATATATTTCATCATAGTCTCAAATGACTGTCAAAAGTGAGGCTAATAAGCACTGAGCATGTGTAGAAACAAACAAAAAACAGATAATTATAATATAATATGATCAAAACCAGATAACAAAGTTTATGCTTCAGGGATCCTCATTGTACAGACCTCTATAAAGACCCTGTAAGGGGCTCAGCAATGGACTTTATGAAAGTCATATAATTATAAGTAATCAAAATTAGTCACTATACAAGAAAAATCTCAAACACCCTGAAATATTACATTGCACACATAAAAGACTTAATAAAGGTTTTCTAAAATTTGACTATAGTAAATTTAATTATTTATCTCATTACCAAGAACAAGCTGTGAAGCTGAATTTTCTTTTCTAAATTATTAATAATACAAACTAAATTTCTATTAAACATACTAAGGAAAGGCAAATGCCTTTCAGTTCTTGCTATAGAAATTATAACAAAATAATTCTCTTAAGGGAGGCAATTAAATAAGAAGCAATTTGAAAACTGTAGGGAAAAGGTATTATGGAAGTGAGTCAGGAAGTTGATTAGTATAAATATGAGGGGATTAAATTTTGTGATGTTTATGGCGTTTTCAACCTTTTAATATTTATAATTTGTTGTGGCTTCTTTCCTATGCTAAATAGATCCTCATTTTCATACTTATTTTCTGCAATTGTAACTTGGTATTGTTTTTCTCAAAGTGGGCCCTCATCTTGTAGGTGCATCAGGCCCAAAAACTTAATTTCATCTCTGACTGTGATCAATGTATTGATGAAGGTAGGTGCCATTTCTTATAAGAACAAAAAGGAAAAGCATTTAAATCAAGCTAATCTAAGAAGACTTACATAGAAGATATACAAATGAACATGCCTGACGCAACACCAATCATCTCCTGGATTTTGAATCCATTTCTAATCAATGCTTTCTTTGCCCTGATTCAAGTTTCCTTATATTCTCTTCTTATAACTTCCCTTGTGCTTTCCAGAGTCTTCCTTTAAAGACAAAAGGAGGGAGAGAAAGAGAGAGAAAGAGCGAGAGAGAGAATGAACCAACTCCATCCTGAACCTCTTCACAGAAAGCTCCCTACATCTACTTACCTTATTAAACCTGAGATTTAATAGAATTTACTGCTTGCCTAATGGCTTCCTCTTGAGAAACCCCATCCTCAGAAATCACATGTACCACAAGGTCCAGAGTTCCTGTTCTCCACAGCCCACAACATCAACGCCAAATCATTTATCCTGCAATATCAGACTACACTATTTTTCAGATGTCTCTTCAACCACCCTTATCACACTTGGACAAAACTGAAAGGCTCTGGCCCCTAACTAATAAAATTATTTTCCACCATAAATCCTACCCTCATCTTAAAGTACTATTAGCAAGTATTTGAAAACAACCCATCTGAAAACAAGACAGGGTTTTTTTAAGTTTTTTTTTTTTTAACCTCTTCAATTCATCTTCAGTGTAATTCAGCCCACTCACTCATAGTCATAATGTATACCTTGTCAACACACAATTTCATATATCCTAAGCAATTTACCAACAATTTTAGTTCTCCCAGTTCTCCCCCTTACTTCTGCTATACCTGTTTCTCAAACTCAAAGAGAACCCACTTTTCTTTCATCGTCTCCCATTTCATTCAATGTTCTTGTCTTCCAATCCATTCGAGCTCTGCTACCAGTTTAATCCCTTCAAGCACTGTATGCCAAAATCTTTAACTCTCTAAAGTCCTAACTGTGACAGAGATTGTTGGGGGGTCGGGGATGGGCAGGAACTGCATTAAATCTTCACATACTTTCTCCACTCCTACATCAAAGACACCAATGCTACTCTGGAAAAAAAAAAAATCCCAAAACCAATGTGTTTGTGAAAGGCTTAAAAAGAGAATATAGAAATCAAAACTGAAATGGCTTCTCCTGGATCCCCAGCCTAAGGAATAGAGATATAAAATCCAGTAGATATTTCAAAACTTTCTATGCCACATTGCTGTTTTCTTTATTCTCCTGGATATTGCATTCGCACCTCCTCAATATTCTGAGTTTCATCATTTATGTATAGTGCCAGTAGCTGAAAATCCATTCTCATTGTCTCTCAATCACAGTAGAGTTAGTTAACCAAGTACCTTTTCTTTCTAATATAAAGTATTTAAGGTTTTTTTCTTTTCTTGTCCTAGATTGGCTATGTGGATGCTGGAAGATGGGGAAAACTTGTTTCAGTCTGAACATTATCCTTGCCATCAACTTGCCTAAAGAGGTTGGATTCATCTGGGCGGTTTTCACTGTTGCAAGTTAGGTACCTTATTCCATGAGGTGCAAGTAGCATGGAAGAGAAAAGCAAAGTTCATAGACAAAACTTCAAAGAACAAAGATCTCTGAATTGGGAGGAAATTCTAACTGCCAGATTTGTTCTCGGTATTTCTCTTGATATGTTTTCTGCTTATTATGGAGTGACAGTTGTTGTGGTTGGGAAGATTGAAAATGGGAAGCACTAATCAAAGATATAATGTTGTGGAAAGGACTGATAAGCTACACAAACTCGTATCATATTATTCTTTTTCTTGGAGCTCAGCATGAGAGCAGGCAATAACAGGAGAATAACTTCAAAAATATCTGTAAGCCAGATTCATTGTCTTCATTCCTAGGGCTTACAGAGACCAAAGCTCCTGAAGTACCATCATTCTACCAGGGATACTGTGAGGTGGTCCCACTCTAAATCCATGTCCTCTAACATCAGTGGACTGTCCAGTGAGCTAACAGCCCACTTATTCATGTTTGATAAACTCTTCCTTTCCCCACAGCTGTTTCAAATTCATCAAGACCCCTCTCTACCCATCTTCCCTCTTATTCCAATGCCCTAATGCACTATTTTCCTATCTGTCTGTCACTAGTATCTGTCCCATTAGAGTCATGGAAGTAATTCAGCTGGTTATAGCCTGCAGTTGTTTTCCTTAAGGGAATAGAACAGAAATATCAGAAGGCATCCCTAGAAGATCCTTAGCAACTCTTGAACACACAGTGCCAAATATTTGGGTTTAAGTGTGTGGAAGGCCACAATGTCACAATATAAAATGGATTTCTTTCTCTGGAGTATGAGATAGATATATATACCAAATTCAAAGACAAAATGGTTTCTAGGCCTTTCACCATCTGAATCCACCTACGTCTACCTCTTCTCTACCTCACTCCCTCTCTAGTCTCATTAGCCCCTCATAGTTCCAGATCATCTCTCCCACCTACTTGAGGACTGTTTCTATCAATTTTCCCTACTCTCAACTGCATCTTCATCTTCTACTACTTTTTCTATTCCTTACTGGCAATTTGGGTGACTACCTCATCCTGATTTTCCCAGGACAGTCCTGGTTTTAAAACTGAAAGTCCTGCACCCAGCAATCCCCTCAGTCCCAACCCAACTGGAATAGTTCATCACCCTACCTACACCCATGCTCAAGTCACTCATATCTTTACAAATGAAAACAAAACAAAAATTCAGAGACTTCACAGCATCCAGTGGACTACTCTGGATACCAAATTATGCATAGAACCAAACTTGATGACTTACCATCAGAAGAAACAGTAGTTTCCATGGCCATTTCTGTGTAGATGGTTTATACTACCCTTTATCAATGGTTTGTAGCTGAGGCCACAGAGCAAAGGGAAACATAAGCCCTCTCCCTTTTGTCTCTCAGGTGACTAAATTCTAGATTTAGCTACTTAGCAACAAGGAACTTTCAATTCTACAGAAATAATAATAGACTCTCAAGAATATCTTGCTCTCATCCTGCTATTTCTATACTCATTTCCAAATTCAATCCAGTTGGAATTGGGTTGTCTCCTCACCTCCAGTCTATGAACCCTGACAGCACAGGTTTGTAATTTTGCTCATGCCATTGCATTGGTCTAGACTGTCTAATCACTTTTCCCATTGAACTGAATTACGGTAACTTTCTAGGGCAAGATCAAATTCCACTTCCATTATCAAATCTTTCCTAAATAATCCAGAAAACATTAACATCCTGTAACTCTCTTTATAACTATAATATGCAATACATTTTTGTGTGACAAAATTTATATCCTTGCTATTTTCTGTTTTATACGTGAGTTTTAAAAATTGCATCTCCTATTAGACTATAATGTTTTGGAGAAAAATATGCTCAAAATGGTTGGTGGAGAATTTATGGTATAGTGTTTGTTAAAATATATAATCAATAAGGTGAGTTCAATATATAAAAACTACACAGGATAAGGACTAATTTAATAAAATATTAACTCTAACTTTGGGAGTTTCTGTTTTAGATTCTTGTCAACTCTTAATTTACCTGGTAGAATCAGAGCCTCATGAGATAACCATCAATTAGAAGCAGTTTTAATTACAGTCCCCTTCCACTTCCTGCTGGAAAAGATTCTACTATTTATGCTGGTTTCTTTAGAAATCTGACGAGGTTCCTTTTTATAAACTGTTTTGCTCATACAGGCAAAACTGGAGACACCTGTGCCTTAGGAGGGATAGATACAAAGAGGTTTGTCTTCCGCTGGACTCAGTGGATAACCTCTGCTTTTATACCAGACATCACTTACAATTAAGTATACATAGCCCCAAAAAATGAGAGTAGAGGAAATCACATACATTCAGTCATGGAAAAAGCTTAGTAGCAAGCCAGTAGCACTAGTAAGCAGAGCAAAGAAACCCTATGCAGGGAGAAAGATAAGTGAGGAAGAATAGAATTCCTGCTTCAACAAATAGTAACCTGCAAGATCTATAGGTGGGAAAAGAATGAAAGCTTCTGAAAGCAGCTTGGCTTGATCTCTCTAGCTGTAAGAAGGAATAACATTTATTTCTTCTTCTTCTTCTTCTTTTTTTTTTTTTGACAGGGTCTTACTCTGTCACCCAGGCTGAAGTGCAGCTGTTTTTTTTTTTTTGTTTGTATCTTTTATAGAGATAGGATTTCTCCATGTTGGTCAGGCTGGTCTCAAACTCCTGGGCTCAAGTGATCTGGCTTCCCAAAGTGCTAGGATTACAGGCACCTGGACAACATTTATTTCTTTGTAGAATCAGCACTAAGAACTTCTGGTTCCAGAAAAGATAGAATAGACACATTTCTTCCTATTACTCCTAGTAAGTACAGTAAGTCCTCAATGTCATGAATAGGTTCTTGGAAACTGCAACTTTAGGTGAAACAATGTACAGTAGGTACTGAAATAACATTGTTTTGTCCAATGTGTTTCATTACAACACTGATGAGACAAATAAAAATTTGTTTTGTTATATGTTACTTTGCATTGTTAAAGTCACAGTTTCTGAGAACCTATTGCTGATGTGAGGACTTATTGTGCAAGTAAAAACACTGTATTTTAAATAGAAAACAAACATAAGAAGGTTAAGAAAGGTAGAGAAAATCATGCAGAGAAGCTACCTACCCTGGGAGCTAAGGAATAATATGGTGGTGAATCCGTGAGTTTTCTTTTAACCTCAAGCAATCTGGAGAAGTATGTAACATTTTAATGCCAATAGACATACAACAAAAAGATAAGCATTTTGAGATAGCCATCATGAACTGCTTCAATGAGCAATTACAAATACGACTAAAATGAAAAAAATAGAAACTTGGAGCAAAAAATGAGAAAGTCTCAGGAAAGAAATATAAAATATAAAAATGAAAATAATAGAAATTTTAGAACTGAAAAGTACAATAACCAAATCCAAACTCACTGGATGACTCAACAGCAGGACAGAGAATAGAGAAAAAAATCAGCAAACTTGAACATAGAGAAATAGTTAATACCAAATGTTTTGTTAGATTTATACCTAAGTATGTCATTTTTTAGGAGGTGTTAATATAAACGGTTACATTCCAAAGAGATCAAATCAGATCTGTACAAAATTGTTTATTGTGGGATAATGTGTACTACCAAAGCTTTGTGTACAATTCTAATTCCATCATTAGAAAGCTATGAAGTAAACAGCAATGCTTCTACATCATGAATAATATGCAGTCATAAATGAAAAAGGATTATCTCTTTACATTAATATTCAATGATTTCCAGGGTCAGTAAGTTTAAAAAACAAGATTAAGAGAAGTATATGTGGCACAGTACATTTTGTGTAAGGAAGGAGAAAAAGGAGAATTCTGAGAAGATGACAATGATGAGACTTGGATCCGTCTATTAGGAAAGATAGAGCTGATAGATGCAGGAGGCAGATAAGGGAAACTGCCCATGGTCTTGCCTGAGCAGGCTCACAATGAACTGGGGGCCCGTATATTCACTGGAAGAATGGGGTGGAGCCATCAGGAATTTACATCTTATGCTGGGGGAGGGGCCCAGCCTCTTCAGCTTGTGTGAAGTGGCCTGGTCTTCAATCTGTGAGGTGGTAGCATGTTGGCGGGACCCCTTCTTTCTTTGCTGAGCTTTGTTTTTGCCTAAGAGATCTACCCTCCTCATCCTTCAATTTGTCCAAGTGCCTAATTTTTCCTGGTTGTGAGACAGAAACCTGGATTTCAGCTGAACTAAGGAGCAAAAAATCCTGCATCATTTGGTAGCCCGTAGAGGGACATGAGGAGGGGCGAGTAAAGTGCGGACCCAAAAATCTCTTTCCCTTTCATTTCTGAGCGTTTTTGTCCTCACACTTCTTCTGAGGGTAGAGGAAACTGCCCGGGCCCCAAGGCAGCCTCAGGGTCCCACACTCTGCACCAACAGCTGGCCAGCGTTCCTGTCACATACCCATGGAGTCTTCCCCTCCCCTGGCCAAGGGGTCTAGCTCGGTCCAAGCCCCAGGGAAGAAACAGCAATTAAAAGTTTCTCTCCCAGTTGAAGAAACTCATTTGCATAAGAATAAGAGGTTTCTTCCCCAGGCATCTTTTTCTTTTCTCCATTTTTCAGCAATTAACACAGCCCAGCATTTAGGTTATTTTTTCCTTTCTCTACCAGGTCAGAAGTTAACTTTTATGTGAAAGGCTTTTTTTTCCCCCCTTTCAGAAGATGTTTTACTAGATTGGGACCCCAATTCAAAGACACTCTTTTCTATCCCTTGTTGGAGAAGGACTCAAATCCACAGCTTCACCTTAGCATTCAGCTTATAAGGAGTCCATGCAATTCAACCCCCCAGAAACATTTTTTACCCAAACTCAATTCCAAGTTCAGGAACTCAAAGGCTACTGACAGCAGGGGAGATAGGGCATATGTGGGTAAGAGAAGATAATTCCACCCCCTAGACCCATCTGTTAACATGGGTGAAAGCTGCTTTGATACCCATGGGCGGTAACCTGTTGTGGTTGCCGGAACTCAGAAATATAAGGATGGAAGAAAGAAAGAGACATGCCTTGCTTTCTCTACCTGGGTATTCGCTAGGAAGAGAAGGGAACCAGGGACACATTGCTCCCCTCTTTCTAGATGAGTAGCCCTTCATCTTCAGTCTGTACCTCTTTGAATGCATCCTGAGTCCTGGGGCTCCTTTTAAAAAATGCCATATTTTTCCTTTTTCCTCCTCTGTTCACAGATGGATGCTTGTGTCCCCATGCTGCAGGACACTCCCCTCAGATGTAGCCTCCAAACTGGGAAAAGTTAACTTCCCAAGCCTTAAACTAGTTGTCTTGGGATTGAGCTCAGTGGGGAGGGAACACAGAAGCCTGACATGCTGGCAAAAGGGTAGGAGGGTTTTTTTTTTTTAACCAGTTGAGCTTTTGCCCCCCCGCCCCCCTGTGCAAACTGGTAAAGGGAATGGTAAGCATCACTGTTTATATTCTCTGTAAAGTTTTAATTATGAAAAAGGATTCGGGAGGTTGGTCTTAAGCTGTAGCCAATCTGGTGTGCTTTGCATGCCTCTCTATATGGTTCTCTAAGAAAGAGAGGTACCTTAGGATGGGATGTAGGCCTAGGACTCCATAGGCCTTCTGCTCGAGCCAGCCTGGAAAACTGGTCAGTGGCAAACTTTGCTGAAGGCCTCCATCATATTTTACGTACTTAGAAGCATGACCTGTAACCATGTGGCAGTGCTTTGTTTTAGCCTCTGCCATTTACAACGGTGGCCCAGGTTCAATCCTGGCTTAGGGAATGAGTCCTTTCTGGTTTGATACCTGTGTGACCTTTACCATTTGTTGATTCTCTTCCCTTCCATGAACCACCTTGAATTTTCCTTTCTGTGAGCACCTGGGAAGTTACGTTTCATAAAGTTCAAAAGCTAGAAATATTGACTCCTTGGCATGGCCAAAGTTGCATAATAAGGGATTTAAAAGGACTTTCTTAAAGAGTGTTCATCTTAACTAAAAGTGGATATCCAAGTTATAGGTATATTTAAAAGGCCTTTATGTTTTTCTCTTCTTGGATCTTGTTTTAGTGGAAAAAGTTTTTTTTCTCAGGTGAATTCTTTTTCTCCATTGTATCTTGCCACCCTTACGGCATGCATGAGAGGCCCTAAAATAATTTCTGATGGCCTGGGGCTTCTTGGGAAAAACAGAAAAGGTGCCACAGATTCCATTTTGGGAGAGACCCCTGTTTTCCTCATGGAGCCCTAGGAATTGGAGGCAGATGAATCCTTCTCAAAATCTGATTTTGTCTTTCAGCTATACCTGTTTTTTAGGCCCTAGAAACTGCATGCTTTCCTAGCCATGCTCTTAAAGGGACCACTCAGAGGTGAACAGTTCAACTAGGAGATTGCAGAACTGAAAATCTGATAACTACTGGATCTGCTTCTGCTTATCTGTGTGGTTATATAGGTGTAGTGTGTGATGTCTATTTTTAAAAAGAGCTCTAATTAATTGACTTAAAGAAGGATAAACACTAGGATCAAATATTTTTGAAGAAAAAATAAAAGCTATAATGCCTTTTAGTAAATGTGACTTTAATCATCAAGAAATAAAAAGAGACTTATGGATTCTGAACCCCCAAAATTTGAGACAGGTCTCAGTTAATTTAGAAAGTTTATCTTGCCATGGTTGAGGATGCAGCCATGAAACAGCCTCAGGAGGTCCTGAAGACATGTGCTTGGGGCGCAGCTTGGTTTTATACATTTTAGGGAGACATGAGACATCAATCAATATATGCACATCAGTTCCATCCAGAAAGGTGGAGACAACTCAAAGCAAGGCCCCCCCACTGGGGGCTTCCAGATCACAGGTAGGTGAGAGATAGATGGTTGCATTTTTTTTGAGTTTCTGATAAGTATTTTCAAAGGAGGCAATCAAAATATGCATCTATCTCTGTGACCACAGAGATGACTTTGAATAGAATGGGAGACAGATTTGCACTCAGTGGTTCCCAGCTTGAGGGGGCCCAAGATATTTTCCTTTCACATTTCCCCCCTTTTCTTTTTAAAAATCTTTGGAGAAAGCATTTTACAAGGAAATGAGTCTCTGGTCTTGTTTCATGTGATCTCTCATGGTTAGGATGGCTTATTTCTAGATGTGTAGGTCACAATAGCTCATTTTTACCAGGCTGTAAAGTCTCATATCCTGTGAAGAGAAAATAGTGGTGTGATGGTTAGTATTGAGTGTGAACTTGATTGGATTGAAGGATACAAAGAATTGATCCTGGGTGTGTTTGTGAGGGTTTTGCCAAAGGAGATTAATGTTTGACTCAGTGGGCTGGGAAAGGCAGACCCACACTTAATCTGGGTGGGCACAATCTAATTAGCTGCCAGCCCAGCTAGAATATAAGCAGGCAGAAAATTGTGAAAAGAGAGACTGGCCTAGCCTCCATCCTCCTGTGCTGGATGCTTCCTGCCCTTGAATATCAGACTCCAAGTTCTTCAGTTCTACAACTTGGACT